CTTAAGTTCTCATTTAACCTTAGGGAGGATATACCTCAGCTCATGAAGGTCGAGAGAGTTGGAATATGGAAGATTTGACAGAATAACCTGTACTGTAATGGTAGGATGCAGCCTTTAAACAGGCACATCAACCAGAAGGGACTTCTGACAGCTCTCAACAATAGAAAGTTTTAAATTAAAAGCATGACGGACAAAACCGTGCTTTGTTTTGTTCATGAAAAAACTCCTCATATGATAACACCATTTGCTTTAGTGTCTTCGGCTCTGACTTTCTGATAGAGCTATGAAAACTCTCTCCTGTCTTTCCAGGCTTTCTTCTATCTACCACCCTCCAGTCTCCTCACTTGATTCCATTCTCCCAGTTGGATGCTCTGAAGTTCAACCTTGTTTTTGATGGCTCCAGGTCATGGGATAGGAGGTAAGCACAGCAATAGCAGTGGGAAGTTCAGGTTAGATATAAGGAAGAAGTTCTTTACTGTGAGGGTGGTGAGGCACTGGGATGGGCTGCCCATAGAGGTGGTAAATGCCCCATCCCTGGCAGTGTTCATGGCCAGGTTGGACAGAGCCTTGGGCAACATGCTCTAGTATGCTGTTTCCCTGCCTGTGGCAGGGGGGTTGGAACTGGATGATATTAAGGTCCTTTCCAACCCAAATCATTCTGAGATTCTATGACAGCCAAGTCTCTTGACCATTTCAGCAGCCCTGGTTGGTGAAAACAGCAAGCAGATGGGAAAAGCAGGAGGGGTTCTCCCCAGCTGCCTGGTTGGAAATCCAGTGTAGCTCCCTTTAACTATGAATTCAATGCAGCAGCTTCAAACGTGTTTCCAGCAGCAGCTGCCTTTCACTGGATTTACATGACTAGGCTTTGCTGTTGTTCATCGTCCTACTCATTTCAGTGTTGCTGTGTGTATGTGTCATACATCATGTGTGACACATCACTAGTCATCATTCTGATGTGTTCTTTTTCCCTCTAAATTGTGGACAGAGATGCTGAGCAGCATGGAGCCAATATACAGCAGACAGGAGCCTGTCAGGAATGCTCTAGTAGATGAGGATTTCACCACTCCCCATTCTGTTTGAACAGCTGCCATTTAGTCATTTTTGTTAAGAGATGCAGCATGTTCTGTTTTAATTATGCCCCATGAACCTACAGTCAGAGTGGTTGCACGACATCAGGTTATTCAGTTCAGATAAGGGGTGAAGCAGGAAACCCCTCCTAAATACATTTCAGCCTAGAAGAGTACCTCCTGAAAAAAGCAAAACCAGAGCACACTGCAGTCACAGATCTCCCGTAACTGCAGAGAAGGGATTTGGCTGTGTTACACTGGGTGAAGCTACTTCAGGTTTTGTTCTTGCTCTAGCACTGTTACTTCTCTGAGTAATTACTCAGTATTTATACAGCACTTTCTTTTCCTGACTGATAGAACAGCTTGTTTGCCATAGCAACCCCAGTGATGACTCTGCTTCTTAGCTACCAAACACCTTCCAGCAGATGTGTATCAATACTTAACATGAACTTTGGTACTTCTTGGTGGTTTAAAGCAAAAAGGATCTGTCATATTAATAAGATGCTAAATGGAGAAAATAAGGTATGCTACAACCTCATTAACTAAGATTGCATGGTAATCATCTTCAGTAATGCTTTTGCATCCCCTGTTGGTTTTGATTTCCTTTGTCTATGCATGCACTTTAAAGTAAAAAAGTAAAAAGCAAAGATTTTCTTGAGGAATAAAAGGATACAGGTGCAGCTGTTGAAGGATATTTTTAGGGAAGTGTTTGACAAAGACATTGTTAGCACTGCCAAAAACAACCGAAGGTGAGAGTGGATCTCTGTTTCCCTTAAGGGAAGTTCCTCTGGGGTCACAGTGATCCAGACTAAAAGGCTGCTGGATGCTCGCCTGGGCTGTCTGCAGCATTTGCAAGCAGTGACTCAGTTTCCTCCTAAAGCTGAGTGTGCTGGAGGAAGGCAAGGAATCCCTCATCGCTTGGCTGACCTCTTCTTCATCTTTCAAAGAAACGGTGGTGCTGTTGCAAAAGTCACAATAGGTTGCTGCTTGTTGTTGTGTCAGTACACAGGGATGGGCTGAGAGCAATGTCTGCCTTCACCAGCAGGTCCCAAAGGTATTGTCTTGGCTGGGAGATAGCCTAGTTGTTAAACAATATATTGGAGTGATTTACTTGCCCTGAGAAGACAGACCTTCCTCTTGCAGGTGTCTGGCTCTTGTGGCTGGAGCTGCTTCAGCAGTGGGCAGCTATGCCATTTCAGTGATTTCAGTGAAGGAAATGGAGAACATGGAATATTTTTCCAGCCTTGTAGCCAACTTATAAATGATAAAGGGGGAAGGGCTGCTCTGGAAATGGATAAGATGCAGGAAAGCAGGAAATCACATATCACCACACGCAACCATCCTCAGGTCTGATCACACTTCATTTGAGATCAGCTGAGGTTTCCCCATCATTTATGCAGATACCCCTAAATGTGCTTATCTCTTTTCCTGGCAAACTTTTGAGCTGTTCCTAGGCTGTGTGCAGCTGCAGCACCTGGGGCAGGTCAGCAGCTGTGTGGATGGGTTTGCAATGTTCTTTTGAGGCAAAGCATGCCAGATCCCAGTGCTCTTGGGCTTGGTAAGAACCACCATGATGCTCAGAGGTCTGGATCGAGCCCTAGAAATACCAATAACCAGCTGCAACTGGAAGCAAACCCAGCTCATAAACATTGCTGCAAACCAGGCCTGATGCATTTTGCTTTATATTTGACCAGTTGTCAGTGTTTTGACTGGGCAAAATTGTTCTTAATATTCTCAGAATCTTCTTATTCCTTTGGGGTTAACTAAGGGCAAAAAGGAGATGATTCCTCTAAATAAACTTTCAGATGAGAAAATAGGAGGCAGGACTTTAGGATCTTTTTATAAAGAAACAAATAATTACAAATAAAACCAACGAAAACCAAACCACCAAAGAAATCCATTCAAAAGTACAAAAGGCCTAAGTACCAATGCCCTTGCGGAAGGCTTGGCCTGCAAAGCTCCAAAGCAAATCATAATCCAGTAATTGGTGGCTTTCTGCACCACCAGTTCTGCTTCTTGAAGCAGTAAATTCATCTTTGCATCACTGTTTAGGGAAAACCTCAGGGTCTTTAAAGCAGGAGTAACAGCAACAGGGAATGGCAACGCAACATCATCTCCTTGGGCATCATGGGCCTTGTGCAAGGTCTTCAGGGATGCTCTGCTGCAAAAAAGAATGAAAATCCATTATTTCTGCTTCATCTGTTGTCAGCACATAAGATAACTCAGTGCAAGGCACTGTTCAGAAGGATTTAGCTTGCCAGCGTGAGCACACTGCAGTTAACCTTGATGTACTGAAATAAAGGTCAGGGTGAGATTTAAGTGGAGATTGAGGGGAAACTAGAAGGAGGTAAGCCCTGCTTAGCAGAGAGCCTTCTTCCCTGTACGGGAGATTGGCAGTGATGCATTTCATTTTGCAGGAATTTGGAGCTGTGAGAGTGAAGGCAGAGCTCAGGATAAGGTATCAGCCTGACCTTAATCTGGAATTCATGGAGACCAGTGGTCTGGGCTAGGGCTTGCTCTTGGAAGTGTATGTTGGCTTTAACAGGTAGAATAGATCTGGCCATGTGTGATGTTATGAGTATTTGAGACTGCAGGCATGAGGTTAAGAATAGTTTTATAGTTTGTGTTTGGGTTCAAAGCTGGATAACACTTCTGAAGCATCTGTTTTTTCTTTTAGTAAGGAGCAAGGCAGAGCAGCATGTGAAGAAATGTTAGGAATATATATATGTATTTGGAAAAAGAGAGATATTAGAAAGAAAAGAAACAAAACCCGGGCGCAATATTTCATTTGCACAGTGAATTATCCAGATCAATCCCTGACTGAATTGAATAGCTTCATCTTCTTGTTGAAACTACTTTGAAATCCACTCTTTTTCTCCCTGCTGCTACTTGGGACCCAACTGTGTAATGACAGCTGAGCTTCATCTGCATGGTTTTGGGAGCCGAAGGGATTGTGTTCTCCACAGCTTATTACTGGTAGGACATCTACAGAAAGTGCTTTTCCATTTGCATTCCAAAAATCAGCTTCCCCAGCTGCAATCTTCTACTCAGGGGTTGACACCTGTAAAGGAAAAACAAGTTGCAGCTTTTGATTTTTCCATTGATATAGTAATTGTTTTCTCTGTGTAACGGGGATACCTGGGAGAGATGCAAAGTGCTCTTTCCTGCCTGTCTGATAGGTTCTATTTTAAAGGGAAATTAAGGGATCTCCACACTTCCGTGCTACTGCTGCAAATCTCCAGGAAAACTGAGATACTAAATAGGTGTTGGCTTGTGCTCGAGTTCCTGTGGCATTTTGTAAAGCCAGCTTTCCTTGAGAGAAAGAGATCTTTAATGCTGTTTCGCCTGCTTATAACCCTCCTTCTTCTTCTCCCTGCCTTTGGCGGTATCTACCCTGTGGAGGCAATAGAACCCTGAAACCTTATAAGAGTTTCTGTTTGTGTGAGTTGTGGGAAGGTCTGCTTGTCCACTGCCCCATATCTCTATCCTTGGGGGCAGACTGGGTTAAAGCTAGGGCTGGGATCAGATTCCCCTGTCTCCATAGTGTTAGTAGCAGCTACTGCTTCCCCAGGAGGACCTGCTAGAGCTGGGGAGTTTGAAGATGCCCCGTACCTGTATATGATGTGCTGTATATCACCCCAGGCACCCTGATGCTGTAGTTCTTGTCTCCCTCCTTGGTGTCACAAGGAATGGAATGGAGGCATCTCCCTCCTGAGGCCATTGTAGCTGATATTAGTCCTGCCCTGATAAAAGCCACTCTTCCCTGTTCCTGCAGGAATATGGAGACCGTGGCCATCGTTTCCTGATGCTTTCCCATGCTGGCAAAATGCACAACCCCACTGAAAGCTGATCTGGGGCTGCAGCACCCTTTGTTGATCTCACATAGTGCTGGAAGGTGCTAAGACACTGATGGGGCAGAGCAGGGCTGCTGCCTGCACCGTTGTTGCTGCCTTCCCTCCTTTTGCTGCTGCAACATTTGTTTTCTTGATGGGAAGAGTAATATTTTGTGACAAAGGCAGAGCAGCAGAAATTGCTCCCCTTTCTGACTGTCCTTCAAGGAAAATCTTTCAGATCTGACTCTCCGGGGTCTGAAATCAATGCAGGCATTAAGCAACGTGGCTTTACTATTTGGATAAAATAGCCTAGTTTTGATTAGGTGGGGAATCGGAGGATAAAGGGATTTCTTTTTCCCAGAATCGGGCATAGAATAGCAATGTAAAAAGCTGGATCAAATAGCTAAAGCCAATATCTTCCCCTTGAGTCTTTCTTTTGGTTCCTTTGTAGCACATCAACTTAAAAGAGACTTAAGCTCCAGTTTCTGAAGGTTGCTGAGTGGGAGGGTGAGAAATAAAAGACAAAGGGAGTTTCACAGCTGCAGCCTCTTAGGAAATTGTGGTAACAACCTGTCATCCTTGGAGTCCTGGCTGATAACGCTTCTGCATGTCCTTGTGCCTGTTGGTCTTTACCTAAATTATCTGCTATTTAATATTTAATGATGCTGTGTGACGCTGGGTACAGTGTAGTCCCTTTAGCGTGTTGTCCCCTTCCTGGTACTCAGGAATGCAGCATGGACAGGAGGGAAAATATGCTTTTTGATTACATTTTGCTCCTAATGTGTTAATCCTCTCCAGGCTGCTGAGCTGCTTAGTCTGTTGGCTACATTTGGGCAATGCAGACAAGAAGCCGATGTGTACGCTTTCGCATGCCTGCAGACATACCTGTCCTTATTCTGTGTTCTTACAACTTGGTGTCAAAAGGACAGGACAGGTACAAAAACGCTTATCTTAACATCTCCTATGTTAAAGAGCTATTCCTACTGGATTGGCATAGGGATACATGCTGCCATTTCCTCCAAAAAGGTGTTTTTCCTATGAAATACCTGCAATTTCCTTCCTAGATCAAAGCACAGCCATTCACAACAATAGCAGATGGGGTGAGATTCCTGCAGCCCCTTCCTCTGCAAGGTTGCACTGCTCAAACCCAGCTTTGCTGCTTTTATTCCTTATACCTCATTTTAGAGGCTAGGCCAGGCCTAAAGGCTCTGGATGGGTGACAGGGCATGCGGACAGAGCCACTTGTGACCCAGGGGTGACAAACCTGACCCTGTGTAGGGGACTGGCAAACACCTCACCCTGCACCCACAGAGCTGCCCTCAGGCACCAGCTCTGACTCCAGCTTCAATCCCCCTTCTTTCCTGGTCTGCAGTAACTTCTTTTAGCCCTTCATGCCGCCTGCCTGGATCTTAGTCTCATTTACAAGACGCAAGCTGCCAGGCTACCTGAAATATATTGAAAGAAACAGCACAGATATCCCCACAGATGTGACAACAGAAGAATAGGAAGAGGGAAGAATTCCCTTGGATATTTTGTCAGGTATATTTGGTGGGGATTTATTTCAAAGAGCTTGTTTTAATCATGTCTTTTGGTTAAAAGAGAAAACTGTTTTATTAAGGGTACTTCTTCTACTTCTTTTCTGTAGAATTAATATTCACATTAAAAAATACAGCTTCCACTTTGCATGCTAATTTTGACTGCTTATTTCTGCTCCTTTTAATTTTTTATGAAGTTATACCCGGCTCCCTGTAATCCTAAATTCACCATGAAGAAGGAACCTGAATGCTACTGCAAATCTGCTTGCTGATTTCCAAGGGTACCTTATGCAATATATGACTTGAAGAACGGGCATATTTCCTTCAGGAAAAGAATAAAAGAGGGGGGAAGAGGGCAAGTTTTCTTGCTTCCAGAGAAAACCTAGAACGTTCAAAATCTAGAGGCTTCAGTAAGAGAAGTTTCATAATGAGGAAATTTCTGAGTATTGTAGTATCTGAATAACATCCTGGGGTTTGGCAACTTGTTTCATTATGTTTAGGGGGTTGTTGTGTTGTTGGGCTTTTTAACATCAGCAGCTGGTGGCACTGTATTGTATCTACTCTGGAATTACACTTCGGTGTGGGGAATGATGCTACAACAGGAATGGGATTCCAGAATGACGTGGGCTCTCTCCTTAGGGAAAGTTTTCCCACAGCTCACAGAAGATGGAGCTTATTGCAGGAAGGCTCTTGGCAAGCCCTGGGGACACCAGCTCTGGTCGTGTCACCCCCTGTCCCTGGCACAGCTGCAGGATATTCCCATCACAGGTTAGACCTGGCTCCACATTCACCAGGGAGATGATTGTGCTGTGACTTTTCCAGCAGGGCACTGCGCAAGAGGCACCAGGCAACCGCTGCCTGCATCCCAGGGTGCTATTTCTCTCCCTGGGGATATAACAGCCCTGGCTAGGAGGAGCAATCGGATGTACATTGGTTGTGACACTGTGCTTGAATCAGAACCAGGAGTCAAGAACTGTAAAGCAAGCCTCTGTCACTGCTTCCCTTAGGAGAGGATTTTGCTCTTGTTTAACTTCCCACACCTTTGCAAACCTTTTCTGTGTAGGCAGCTATTGTTCTCTTGCTTCCATCACGTATCTTTAATGAGCCCTTGTACAGAAAGCACAAGGTACCTCTGAGGCCTTAAGCAGAAGCCATGAAACTTTTTATTCTATCTGTATGATTTGCTTTTACTGGACAGAGAAATGTACCACAACTCTAAGCAAGTGATGGGATGACCCTTGGTGAACAGAAGATGAAGCAATGGGTAAGTAGTTCCTTTAAGAGCAAAAAACACATTCAATTAGTCAAGCCTTGTGCTGTTTTTAAGCTCACAGGCATGGCATTGTCAGTGTTTCTGTTACCTTTTCAATTTGAGCTACTGCTTAGTCAAGTAGACAGTGTCAAATCCTGATAAAGCAAACTCCAACATCCTGAAGTCAAATGATGACATAATGCATCATGCACAAACTGAGCTGGGTTTATTCTCCTTTCCATTCACTTAGGAAATCTTTAATACATCCGAGAATTTAACCATGTCTGTCACTGCAGTGTAGATACAAACTGAGGTAGTTCGTTAATGATTGGAAAAGATGACATAGGTGTACCTTGGGTGACATAGTTTAGTGTGAGGTGTCCCTGCCCACGGCAGGAGGGTTGGAACTGGATGATCTTAAGGTCCTTTCCAACCCTAATTATTCTATGATTCTATAAAGATGGAGACAACTTGTGATTTCTGAAGCCCTGTGCATGCAGGACAGCCTGTGTTCCAATCTGGAGAAATTCTGCTGCAGTGTTCTTCATCTTCTCCACATTTTGATGGAAAAATCAAACATCAGAAATCAATTTTGATCGTCTGTTTCACATGAGGTGATGTCTTTTGCGGTAGTGTCATTTCAGCTGTATACCATGAAGTGTAATGTTTTATCATTCTGTCTTGCTTAGGAAAATCTGTTCTTGCCGAAATTATTTCTGTGCCACATCATCTTGAAATATTTCAAAACAGAGCAACATGAAAAGCTCATCTTGAAGTGTTTGGCTTCTGCACCATAGATTTCAGAGCTCTCAGCTCTATAGGATCTGAGCACCTTCCAACAGCACATTAAACACTACAACTAACATCTGCCATGTTTTGTTTGCTTTTGCATCCTCCCCCTGGGGAAAATGCATGTGCAGTGGCATGCCAAGTGCTGGTCAGGTTTCTCTACAGGAGATTAGTTTGATTTTCATTTTTCTTGTTCAGAAAGATGCATTCTCCTGAATTTCAGTGACAAAAGGCAAGATGGAAGACCTCATAGCAGCCTTCAAGTATCTGAAGGGGGCCTACAGGGATGCTGGGGAGAGACCCTTCATCAGGGACTGTAGTGACAAGGGATAACAAGTTAAAACTTAAACAGGGGAAGTTTAGATTGGATATAAGGAGGAAGTTCTTTAATGCTAGGGTAGTGAGGCACTGGAATGGGTTGTCCAGGGAGGTTGTGAATGCTCCATCCCTGGCAGTGTTCAAGGCCAGGTTGGACAGAGCCTTGGGTGACATGGTTTAGTGTGAGGTGTCCCTGCCCATGGCAGGGGGGTTGGAACTGGATGATCTTAAGGTCCTTTCCAACCCAAACTATTCTATGATTCTATGGAAGAAACACGCAGCACCAGAGTGGCATGCAGAAATGCTTGTAGAGGTCCTTATGTGTGCTTGTAGGGCTGCCCCTCAGAACAAAGCAGCATGCCCTTGCTATGGCAGAACATGAACCAAAGGGTTACTCCTAGGAACTGCTGTGTGAGAGCTTTGGGCTTGGATTCATGCCCATTTGCCAAGGTTTGTGGTTGTGCACAGGGAGACTTTTCTGGATGGGAGGTGACAAAAGTGACATTATCTTGGGACTGCTGGCCTTTGTGTAGGAAGGGACTGACCTCAGTTTTGAGGAAGCCTGAAACTTCACCTCTCATGTGCAAGCCCTGTCCCTGTCTGCTGGCTCAGATGTCAGTAGTTAGGAGTTATCTGCATTGCTAACTATTGTGATTGCTCACTGCTAAGTCACCAAATGAGATGAGAGGATCTCATTACAAGGAGCTGCACAATCTATTACTGATGCTGCTGTTTTGAATGAGGCTCATTTTGCCTTGGAATTTAACAGCACCAAACAGACTGGATGGAGGCACAAACAGTTTAATTGTCCTGAAAGCTGACTGGATTTGCCAGAGGAATGAGGAGCATTAATAGAGTCAATGTTAAACAGCCATGCTATTCATCTTTGCTCTGCATGAGAGGTGGCCAGTCCTCCAACCACTTGCAAATGGGTGCATGGATGTTCTCACCTCCACTAGCAGCATCATTGCTCTCTTGTACAGCTTAGTCACTCTCAGTCACTCTAAAATGACAATCAGCCACGGCCTTTGCTGTCCTGTAAAATGGCACGTAACTCCCTAATTAATCTGGGCTCATTCCTAAATCCTCTGCTGCCTTACTAAATAAGTTGGACACAAATTACAAGCATCACTTGTCCTTTTCAAACTCTCGGGCACAGCTGCCTGTGCTCACTAGCTGTGGAACAAACAGTTCAGGGGCAGACCAGCATTTTCTGATCAGTAGTGCAAAAAAGGCATTGTACCAGGTAAAACCATCCCCCAGTTCCTGAAACTGGGAGTTCCCAGCTTCCTAAATCCTCTATACCATATCCAAAGCATATATTTTCCCAGGATTGTAAGTTTTATTAATTTCTTTAATTTTATTTATTTTATTTCTCAAATATATCTCTGAATAGCTAGATATGATGGGACAGAAGACTGTATGAATACAGAGTTGAGGGGGAATATGAACATTTTTTGGATGGTAGGGAAAGGAGGAAGAGACTGCCAAGAGCAGGCAGTCCTTAAAGACAAGGAGAAGAGGAGAGACAGGAATGAATTTAAAGGCTCTGCAGGTAAAGGCAAAATTTAGGATCAGACTTACTGTAAGATTAGCAAGAACAGATGCAATTACATTGCATGTAATGCGCAGATCAAGGTTGGCTGTTGTCAGCTCATTCCATAGGGATCAGGAAAGGAGCCTTCTTGGTTTTCCTCTCCCACCTTAGGGGTCAGCTATGTGTTTCCAGCTGGAGGGTACATGCTGAGCTTTACTTCCTTGGAGTGACTCCTGCTGCTTGTCCTAAACCTTTTAGTGCCTATTGCAGAGCAACCTAGGCTGCATGGTAAATAACAAATGGTTAAAAGCCAGCAAGGAAGGAAATTGCTAGTTAACTAATCCAAATGAACATTGCCCCTGGATGATGTGCACACTCTGAGCTACCTTTGATGGGCACCAAATTCTCTTTCAAAGCATCACCTTTAGATGCTTTTTATGTGCCCTTCTCTCCAGCATTTTCATGTGCCTGTGATTTCCGCTGCTGTTTGCTACCGCCGAGTCTGATTGTTGAGATCAGGGGACATGTTGTCACTGACTGCTGCATGGACAGGCACAGGCTTCCAAAGGCGGGTTTTGTTGTTATCTCTTTAAAACAGAAATAGTAATCTTATTAGCAGAAAAAGAAGCTAAAATTGCAAACAGAAAACGGAAAGAGGAGACTCACCTGTCTTCCGATCATTATTCTATCAGAAGCACGTTGGCATAATGAAGGGATAATTACTAACTGTGCTGAGTTCTGTTTTCACATATTTGTGACAATTAGGCATGGGAGTGGGCAGGTTGTCATTGATTTTTGGCAAAGCCCTTTAACAGGCACAAAGGAGCTTAAATGCAGGTAGGAAATGCTTCATCTTTTGTAGCCCACCTCCACATTTCTAGCAGGATTAAACTCACCCATCAGCAGCAAATGCACAGTGTGCAGTTACACAAGCAATACCCAATCATTGTGATTCTTCATCGCAGCAAAAGAAGCAAGATGGTAAGTACTGAAATGCCAGGAGCCTCAAGTCCAGCAGTTATAATATCAGAAGGCTTTCTACCAACTTAGCAGCCCTTTTGCATGTGCACACAGAGTATGAAGTCTTTGGCCCAAATTTAACTTGGTTTTGCTTTGGTTCCTGTTCGTTCCATGCGTATCCGTGGTTCTCCATCACAAAACCTTGAGTCCATGATCTGTTGGCAGGATAAGTCTGTCTGAAGGAATGCTCCTTCCCTGGCAGTGTTCAAGGCCAGGTTGGACAGAGCCTTGGGTAACATGGTTTAGTGTGAGGTGCCCCTGCCCATGACAGGGGGTTGGAACTGGATGATCTTAAGGTCCTTTCCACCCAAACCATTCTGTGATTCTATGCTTCCATGGGATAAAAGAGTCAGTATTTTCTCTGGTCTAACTCTAATACCATATAGAAAGGCACACCCCACTGCGCAGGCTTGAAGGCCAAGGGACCTTAAGCCTATGCCTCGTGCACAATCAGAGCCTGATATTCCAGACCTGCCATTAGCACTGGACAGCCTGAATCTGAAATGCATGTTTTTTTCCTTATATAAGTTAAAACCAGTGAGACTGACTATTTTCAGTGATTCAAGCTTGTACATCCCATGATCAGTCTTATGGATTTGCTCCAGATTTTGTTGTGCTAATTGCCATTCCAGGTGGCTATGAGTTAATTAGTTAGCTGTGTGTTTCAGGGTGCACCATAACTGTACATAAATAAATCGTTACTGAATAAAGAGTGCACAGATATAAATGCATTTGATGATATGGCAGAAATGATTTGGCTTGCACAGGACAACTGAAATGTATGTATTATTAGTGACTATATGTGGTTCTTTACATTAATTGGCTTCATTTGGGTTTTGAAGGTCTGGGAATAAGGAGCTTGATGTGGTTATTATTTGTAATGGCCTGCTTTTCACATCCTTAGCTTTCAGGCCAGCCTGTGCTTCATGAGGTACGACGATGTTCCCTCAGATGCTAAAAAGGAATGTGTTTGGGTTTGGACATCTGGGAAAGTTGATTCAAAGGCAGCAAGATCTCCCATTGGTAAGGCACCACCAATAACTTCCAGCCCTGAGCAGCAATCCAGTGTCTTTCAAATGTTTTCTTTCTCTTTGTCACCCTGCACAGTGAAGCATGGAGGAAGGCAGCCAGAGTGTGAGGGGCAGCGTCCCCAGCTCTGTGTCACAGACTGAGATTTTTGTGTCACCACGAAGTAGGAAGCAAAGCACATGCTCTTTGCTTCCACCACCACACCTGCAAGTTGCTACACTCTGGGCTGCTTATCCCCTCCATGGGTATGTCCAGGCCTGTATCTATCAGCTTTTCCATTCCTCCTTTATTTCCCCATGAGGCCAGTTTGCAACAGCTGCATCCTTGCCTTGCAGAGCAGTGCTGCTGTCAAAGTGGGATGAAAGAGACAGAGAGGATCAGCAGGATGTGCGTGGTAACTCTTACAGAAGCAGTTTGGTATGTCACACCACCCATGGACACCCACTTTGGAGCTCACTGTGGATAGGCAGGTCCATTCCACAGCTGTAGCATCCATCCCGTCCCTGTGAGCACAGCAATGGTCACACTGCTGAAGAGCTACAGAGGGCTTTCTGGTGTTAAATTCTGTCTTGCTGATGTGTTTGTTGAGTCAATGCCACACTGAGCATCCTGAAACACAGCCTGGGACTATTAGCACAGTTCATCATTTCAGCAAGTGCTTATGAGCCTTCAGAATGAGCCTGTTCTGTCACTGGAGTCATCGTTTACTTCAGCACAATGTTTTTAAATTCATGTGTGTGTCCCCCTCACAGACCTCACTGAGATTTTCATGCATTTAAATGAAAAAGCTGAACACTTCCCTTTTGATGTCCACATTATGCAGCATTGCCCTTCTCTGTATTTCATCCTATTTCTGAACTGTCATGCAAACAAACCCAACTAAAAAAAGAAATCATTAAAGAAGTGTGCATCCTATCAGCCTGGTCTCGTCTCCTTCTCTCACTGTATGTGCAGGAAGAACTCCCTTCTCCTGCTTCCCCTTCTCTTTCAGGTGTTTTCACTTCTTTCCTAGCTGTGATCCAATATCTTTATAACTCCCCAGAGTGTTCTGGTTGCTCCAGTTGCCCAGCAAGCAAGCCCCTACTCCTTTTCTCCCCGCACATGTAGCATTCACTATTCCAGGATCATGAAGCTGCTGTTTTCTAAAGCATTTTTTTATTGGTTTCTATTTTCCTTCAGCTACTCCAGAAATGGGAATTCTTTTTTTGTCAATCTGTTCTGTACTGCTAGAACACCCCCTTTTCTTTGTCCACCTGAGTATATACGGATGAAGCAGTCATTGCATCTTTCTCCTCCATCACTGATTGGTTTTAACATCTCTTGCTCTATTGTATCATTTAAGTCAGCTTTTGAGGAAGACTCAGCCACAGGCCTTCAACATGCATTGATATCATCATCATCATCATCATCATCATCATCATTAAAGTGTGATTGCCAGTCTAGCTTATCGTAGCCTTCTTCATCATGACGAAGTTATGCTCTGGTAAGCCTGCCCCTTTTCATGTCCCTGCCTTTCAATCATTTGGCTACGCTGAACAGTCATTCTTCTGCAAGGAAAGCAGCGTGGGTGCTCATGGGTTTGCAATGTTGGCCACAGAAAAGAAGTCCTCTGTAGCAGAGACTAAACATGGAGAAAGTACATCTGGCTCTGGGGTTCACTGGTGGAGAGTTGCTGGTGGCAGGGGGATGTCAGCAGGAAGCATCGTTTGTTCTTGCTCTTGGCATGAGTTTGTGGCACTTGTTATTGACTCTCCTGGGCAACAGCCATACACGCATCTCAAACACACCTTACACCTCGTTCTTACTGCAGATGAAGCTCTTTGTGAGAAGATGTGGATGTTGGCATCTCTTTGGTGGAGAGTTTGCACTGATCACAGATGAAGAGAGCAAGACACTGGAGCAGGTATGGGACTAGAGATCAAGGCTCTCATCTGTAATGCTTTGGTCTCTGACACCCCACAGAGATCCCTGATGGCCAATGACTGCCTTTTCCAAAGAGGAACGTGTCCTGGTAGCAAGACCTCCAGTTTGTGATAAAAATAACTATTACTTCACAGGCCCACAGAAAAGCACCTGCCTGGACAGCAGGAGACCAGCAAATCACAGGCATGAAGTGGACATGTCAACTTCTGTGCAGAACACTTACCAGTGAATGTAGGCTGCCCCATCTTCACATCTCCATGGAAAACCTTGGGATTATCTTGATTTTTATCCACACAGGGAAGGTGAAATGGTCTAAATGTTAATGATTCATGGGATGCAGGCTGCCTCTCAGTTTCAATAAATGCATTATCCCTTTGTAAAGAGCTGTTTTGAATTCATAGAACGTTTTTAAAGTTTCTTTCAAAGACTGTGTTTTTTCTTTCCTCTCATGTATCTCAGAAGAAACCAGCCTGCCAAACTGAGTCCAGGCAGCTCTTCTGAGATAGAGACATCCATCTCTGTGTACGGTCTGTACTTGTGAAGCAGAGCACAAAGCCCTTTTCCCCATTTAATCCATATTAATTACCTCTCTTGCAGCTCCTCTATAGTTTCCACTCAACCCAGGCGCCAAAACGTGTGCGGCTGCATCTTGAACAAACCAGAGCCTTTCACTGCACACCTGGCAAGTGAACACTCCGAAAGTACAAGTAAATAAAAAGGTTTAGTGCTGAAGGATTGAAGCTCTCTCCATGCTTGAAAACCGAATGCCGTGGGACTGTGGACTAAGGCAGATATTTTTAGTGCCATCAATATCTCCTGGAGTTGATATCTCCCAAGACAGATGGTTGTTTCCCACAGAACGTTGTCAAATGTTTGCTCAGCCAAGATCAATTTTGTTCCAAGTCCTTTCCCACCTTCTGGTGGAAGATATTTCACTTGCCAGACAAAAAATTAAAGAAACAGCATGAAACCATGTCACTCCAGAGGGTTCTCGTTCCTATAGCTCTCATCTGTCCTTTAGCCATGTGACTGACATCTCTTTCAGTGCCCATGGAACAATAATAGATGCACTCAGGGTGGAAGCACGATGTCAAACACCAAAGGCTCAGGTCTCATGTCAGAGGCCGATTTCCTCCAAGACCTACAAGTCACTTTGCAGCCTGTCAAAGGCCTTTGCTGCCACACTTGGCTGTTAGATCTCCTAAACCCAAGGGAAACCTGAGTACCTTCAACTGATCTCTTAAGGAAACAAGGTGCAAGGTGAAGGAGGAACAGAAGTGGTGCTGAGGAGGAGGCATGGAGAGGCTGAGCTGTGCCCTACATGGAATACATGGAAGGTATTTCCAGTGATGCCCTATTTGTAAGAAACTACACCTAAGAAAAATGAACGTTCCATTTCTTTCCCTTGCTGGTTGCTATTTTCAGCAGAGCCTGACTTGTCAGTGTAACCCTTGAGAGGGTTGATACTTTCCAACATACAAGCTCCCTTATAATGCCTGATTGTTGAAAGTGAGAAATTACAGCCGCCAGTGCCAGTAGCAGCTTCTGAAATCTAATGATGATTCATTCCTGTTACACTTCTGCTTGTTGTGGCCATTTAGGCTGAAAATTGTTAATCCATGCTTGTTTTCTGGCCTGGGTCAGTAGGGTATTTCTCTCATACATAAAAATAATTCTGATTTAGTTTTGTAATTCCAAATCCTTTTGAAAATGCTACAAAATCAAATTCTTCTGCGCACTGCAAGGCAAATTGGATCATGCAGAATATTCTTTCCATGGTGATCCATAATGTCTTTTGTTACAGTTGCAGAGGCAGGTAAGGCTCTCATTAGAAGGGAAATCAATGCTATGATGCCCCAAAATATTTTTCATCATTAATGTAGTTATGACAGCGATCTGTTCACACCAGCCTGACTTCTTATGCAACCCCGTATCCTCAGACTGCTTTTATGAGAGAGGATTTTGGGTGGCAGAAACCTGCTGGTCTTGGTATTGTACCTCTTGCTTGACATTTGCATGGGATTCATTACTATTTCAGTCCTACATTTTCTTCAGGATTACAGATTCCCGATCCTTAACTCATGTAAGAGGCATTTTCAGTCTCTTCTTGCCAAACAAGCATCTTTGCCATTTTTAGAATACTATGTATATACAAACATATATTGCATACATATATACCCAATTTATTATTAAACAGTTAACCTGCAGAAATCACTTTCTGTTACCTGGCAAAGTCACATGCAAGCCCTCTGTGCAAAGGCCCTTCATATTGGGAACTTAATTGCCCATATGGATTTTTCTTATGGCAACCTATCAATGGAAGCAAGGTCTGCGGCATCATATTGGCTTCTGGAAGAGACTAGACATGATGATAATCAATCACTTGGTCTGCAAATGGGTTTGCACAACCACCTCTTTTAAGAGACATACTTGTACGAAGGAAAATAAAGGAATGCATCAACTCTATATGCAAAAAAACAGAGTGAGAAAACCACTCACATACTCAAACTAGGGGGGTGATGGTGTTAATAATTAAGCCTTATTTTGTCTCTCTGTTCCTACTCAGTGGTTGGCTTTCCTCTTGCTCTTTTGGGGAGCTTTCTGGGCTGCTTTAAGCTGTGAAGAGAAAATGCTCTTGCTTTCTCCTTAAGCATATTTATGTGCAAAAGCCAAACTCCTGCTCTTACATCTTTGCTCTGGAGTTCATCTCTCAGATACATTAATTCACAGAACAGAGGTAGAACATCATCATCGTTAAGATCCAAATTAAGCTGCCTGTCCTATGAAAGATCCCCCTGCCTGAAGCAAAACAGAACTATTAATGCATTTTTAATAAACATTGCTGTTGAAGGTGCATGGAAGATGTGTTGTAAATATTAAAGAGAAACTATCATCTTTCTTTTTTTTTTCTTACTCCATAAAACATAGCACAAAAATGTCCAGGTCAAATCCCTCTGATGAAAATTAAGCCAGTCCCTTTGATTTGAAGAGTTTTTCCCATTTCCTTTACTACAGCACTACAGTTTTTGCAAGAGCTCTGAACCATCCCTGTTAGGATGTTCACAAATGTGTCAAGCTCAATTACAGACCTATGCAATAGTTAAGTTATAAACCCACTTGAACGGGAACAGAGCAATTACAGAGAACATTAATGAATATTTAAAGAGATGCTGTGGTCTCCTAAATCTCCTCTCTGCCGAAGGCAGGTTTAACACATAGTGTGGTGCTCGGCTTGCCCATCCCTGGTAAGCGATGCTGGCCCAAGGCTGAGTGCAGGCTCTGTTGCAGTGATCTCCCAGCCACTTTGCCTGCTAGGCTGTTATCCCACCTAGTGGCTGCAGACTGCCTGCTCTCCCTTCACACAACATGCTTTTTTCCCATATTGGTGAAACAAGTCAAGGTTTGATGTATTACTTCAGTTAGCAGTGAACAGGCGTTCAAATTGCTTAGTCAGATGGTCAAATGCATGCCCTTGCCTTAGATGCGTTACGCTAGGGATGAGTTTCACACTCAGGTGGGTATTCCCATCATCTAAATTTATATATCAAATAAAGATGCTTCTCTAATACAGTCAGTGTTCCGGTGTAAGTGCTCTGTGTCACTCTTCTTACTTAGGTGTGTATCTGGCTTTTAATTTGGGCACATGGAGATAATGTGAATAAGTTGCTTCCTGTCCCTGCTTGTGGGACCAGATCAGGTTTCCCTAATGGTACCCAGGACTTCATTTTATCTTCTCTGCTGTCGATACTCAGACATCCACAATACACATATGCACTGTCCATCCACTTCACCATCATCCTATGGTCTGACTGAAGCCAAATGTAAAAAACCTATTGCCTTCCAAAGGAATGGGATTCATGCTGAAATGTTGAGTTTAATGGAAATGTGTTATTAAAATAAGGTGCTTTTAAAATTTTTCTACTACGAATCTTCTTGAATCACATGAAAAAGTAAAAGATCTATTGAAACGTATTTAGATTACAACAAAGGAAAAAAGAACTTGCTAAAGCACTGCAAGAAACTTCCTTTAATTGAAGCGGAATAACATTTATGCTAAGCTTTCAAGGGGGAGCTCACCTATGAAATCCTATATTGCTTCCTTCCCACCTTGCTCTTTGCCCCTCTATTTCTATACCATGTTTGCGTTGTTACAACCTTTCAAAAGATGCTTTACTGTCAAAAGAAGTGGGATTTCTCTCGTCTTAATTCTTTAAGTTTCTGCAGTCCTTAAACCAATGTGTGACTCACATTGACTGGATGGTCCAGCACTTAAGGTTGTCTTCTGTACCCAGAGGAACCTCTTTATTCCTTTCATGATCTTTTTTTCCTTTGTTTTGATGTTAGTCTTTGTGAGACTAAAGAACTCAAGGGTAAAGGCAGCTGAAGTTCCCAGCATGTACCTGAAGAGTGTCCACTGCTCACTGCAGAGCAGAGATTTAATAATGAAGGTCACCCCAGTAAGTAATGATGAATCTTTATGGTTTTGTGCAGAATAAATGCCTTCTTCTTCAAAATGCAGAATGATCAGAATTGTTTTCATGTGTAGAAACCAAAAACATTGTCCTGACCATGATGTTTACTAAATAAGTCTCAGTATTTAATTTCTTTTTCATTGAACAAAACATAGGAAAGGGAATTGCTTCGGCCTGCTGACATTTAAGTGAAAGCATTCCCTCCTATGCTGTCTCTCCCTGTGCACTGATAGAAAATATTCCCTAGAAAATTCAGAAAAGGCATGGAAAGCTTGATAAATTCTTATTTTCCTTTTTCTCTGCTATATTTTTTATATATACATACATAATGTGATGATGAAATGCATTTGCCATCAATACCAGACTCAATTTAGCAGTCAGCTTCTTCATGCAGAAACCCTATACCTCCTTTCTCTGCAAGCTGCCTGCAGCCGGGAAAGCTGTTTCCCTCGGCTCCCAATTAGCTGCCTACTCAAGCTGTCTTGTCTAAACCGGATCAGATATCCATGATTCTTCGTATGTCTCCTTGCTGCCTACTACACTTTAATTTACATTTCCAGCATTATCATGTACAAGTGGCAGGCTGCCTGGTTATACCATGGAAAGGTCAATGGATTGGTGAGCCCACTGCAGGCTGAAGGTGCCAAAGCTGCTGCTGCTGCCACTTGTCTTCAATCTTCCTAGGGCTGTGGATGCTCACGAAGTCCATGGATGAGAAGGATTTCCCGTGGCATGATGGAACTTGGTTGCAGTGGTGCATCCAGGGTAGAACTGAGTATGGTGCTGCCTTCCCCACTGGCTTCAGGTCAGTGTGAGGGCACAGGCATCCCAAGGAAGAAGATTAAAGGGGGTAATTTCTATTATATATTCTATTTCATGAGTATTGTTATTTAAGTCTCGTGGGCAGCCACTCGCTCTCTAAAACTTACTTCTAGAGAGATTCTGGTACTGGACTCCCACTTAGCTGATAATCAGCTTCCAAAAGTGATTTCTCTGGAATTAATGACACAGGGTGGGGTTTTGGTTTAGTTGCACAATCTATACACTAAGGTACACCAGACTTATCAGATCAATTCTGACAGGATTATTTCCTGCCTTCCAATAACACTGCAGTCTGAGATCATAATCCTCAGACTAAAACCATGACCTTAAACCTGCAACAAAGAGCAGCTTCAGGACTGTTGCAGGTGATGCTCCCTGTGCAATATCCCTGTATTTTGAAACGTGAGCGCTTAAAAATACCTGAAATAGAAAGGTACAGGAGGAGGAGTAACTGTGTTCCCTTTGCCTGGCCTGAAAGGCAGGAAACTCTTGAGTGTAAAGAGTTTATTGGTCTAGTTTCTGTCTAATGCAACTGGACTATATAAAGATGGGGGGGGGGGGGCTTTTATTGTGTTTTCCTTAAAGAAAAAGGATTTGTAAGCTGATCCACTTTCAAGTTCAAGCCAATGCAGGGTCCAGGCACAGGAGTCCAACACACGCATAATCAAGCTATCTA